TATAATTTTCTCCCTTTGCCGGCGGCGGCGTTTGTATATTCAGTATGTGCGCGTCTCAAACACGCAACGGTCGCGTCGCTAGTAATTAATTTCGTGATTAATTTGATTGATTAAAAAGCGTGTACGAAATTCTCTTGGCGCCAAAATTGTTTGCCCTAGAATCTCCGATGCAATTCTGCTGGTTGACACAGTCTGCCAGTGCGGTATACAAACAGACGTCACCCACCCACAAACAACCAGCAACCTAGCTGTACCAACCATCCAACCACCCAACTACCCACACACAGACACACATATTGCATTGATTCACGTACTTGGCTGTCCCAGGGAATACTTGCATGGGACTCTCTTGTTCGATTGTAGCCGGAATTGAAATTCATTTACCGTTGGCCCTCCCAGCGGCGTCCATTTTGCTAGAGTGCGTGCCGTTTCCTTCTTCCGCTCAAGCGCTCAGCGTGCATTTATTGCTAATTTTTCATCACCACAGCAGATAATCAGCTCAAATTTATTAATGGTTGAACTCCTTGCAGGAACGCCGAGACGATCTGCAGGTGATTGTCGGCGCCATTGGCAAGAATCCCCAAATGCCAAAGGTTACGCCCGTCATGATGAACGAAATTGAAAAGGTTCTCAAAACGCACTCGTCGCTCGACGATTTCATTTAAACTGCCCGCTTACACACATTTTTTTTCCATTCCCTTTACAGACTAAAAACAATTTGATTGCTCATGCCGATTGTGTAGAGCTCTCATTGACGGAACTGAAAAATGGCAACCAAATTGGCAACGGCAACGGCAACGGCTCCACCAACAGCCGACAGGGTAAGTGATTTTAGCTCCTATTATTTGGTAATCGATTTGCAAAGGTTATTTATTGCGCTTTGTTTGGCCCCTTAAGGTCAGTGGTTGAAAGACTTGTAGAGCTTGTATACACTTGGTTACGATTGCATAAAGTAAAGTGTTTTCCCCGTTTTTATATTGCGCACTTTTAATTCAATGCGCTGAACAGACGGTTGTATAGGCTGAACTTTATAATATTTTCAGAGTCTGTAATGTGTATAAACTGTACTGAGTGCCTACCAACCAAATTGGGTATATTTACCGATATGGATAGGCGTAGAGGTATCACAAGAGTAAAAGAATTTTAATCATTATATACATGCATATATAGACATATATTCAGAACAGACTGAAGGCTGGCAGCTAAAATTTGTGTCTCCACCTTATATCGATTTTTATCGATTACTTGGAAACGGGGCAAGTTATCGATTATCGGAAACAAACTCGATCTGCGTAGACACTAGGAGGACCTACAGCTAAAATTTCAGCTCTTATAGATTGTGATATCCTTGCGTTCATACATACGGACGGAGAGACAGATGGACGTGGCTAGATCGACTCGGCTATTGATGCTGATCAAGAATATATATACTCTATGGGGTCGGAGATGCTTCCTTCTGCCTGTTACATACATGTGGATTTTGCACAAAAAATATATACCCTTATACCCAGGGTATAAAAACTGAAGCCCCGAAGCTATATTGTTGGTAGAATTTTATTATTTTCGTTAAATAACGTTATTCTGATTGGTTACAGCAAGCCCTATCATTTTCATATTCAGAAATTTTAATTGTGCTACAGAAACTCAGATCGCAGGGAATTAACGTAACGTTGAATATGTGGAAAAAAAAGTTTTAAACACAATTTATCGAATTCGATGGCCATTTGCGAAAACGCGAGAATAAGCACGCACAGTACGTTTTTATTATTTTTCTTCTTTTTTTTTTTTTTTTTGATAATTCTTTTTACACATTTACGCTTTTGAAGTTTTTAATTTCATATTTTCATGCAGCCGGCAATATTTCGTTGCATTTTATGGTATTTTAATGGAATATCTCTCTACTCGTTGCCGGTCATTTCCCCGCTTTCCATCTTTTGACTTTGTTGTTTGCACCAGTTAAGGGCTCGCATCCAAATGCGCCGTGTCAATAGCACTTTTGACATTGCACATAGATATTTTCAAATGTATGCATGTGGGATACATGTGTCGGGTGTGTTGGTTTACTGTGACGGAAGCGACGACTGTTCCGGCTTACACAGGACTGCTCTTTTGAAATTTATGCTTAAATATTCAAAATTCAACATAAATCGCCAAATATATATATTAAATGGAGCGCTTTAATAATAACAGGGCAATTTTACAAATATTTATTAAATAATAGAATTCAAATATATAATATTAAATAACCTAGCCGCTTAGAAATGCTTTTCTACGATATAGTAGTTCGATTTAAAACCATTTTGCAACTATGTGGAAAGAATCGTCGAGCTATTGAGATGCAACGGCTTTTTGCAGCACACCGAAGATTAAATACCCTTGCAAACATTTGAAAAATTGAAAAGCTTACCATATAATAACTAATTTCTCGACCGATTGTTCAATATTCACCCAGCTTACTAAAACAAGAAATGGTCAATAATCAAGAAAGATCAAATATCCTTATGGATATGTGGAAAGAATTTTGAAGCTCGTGATAGCAGAGTTTGCTCATTTATCGATCTATTCTTGCTATAGAGCAAAAAAGTATAGCTATATTAGAAGAAAAAGTTGTTGTTGAAGCTTTATGATATATGCCACATATGTATGTGCTAAGCATTGAGGTATTAATTGAGTTGTGTCAATATATCTTTGAGCGCAAAAGTTGTTCATTCTAAAACCCTGTATTCAATTGTTCATTCCCGTCAATGCCTCCCATTCTATATCATCTGACCAATTCGGAATACTGTAAGAAACAGAAATTAAAAATCAATAAGAAACGTTTTATGTATAAGCCAATTTATTATACCACATTTGTATGGGCATTGCATTCGTTACTGAACGAAAGTCTCTTCGAATCGGATTAAGTCTCAATTCGAAAGCACTTTTGCTAAGTATTGAATGCAATGCTTCGTTGACTGCCCACTTTCTGAAAGTGAAACGCATTTCTTAATATTGAGCTTGGGGTTTTCGATCTTTTGACGAAACTAACTTGCCTAGACAGAGTCGACGATCGATTTGAGTTTTTTGAAATGATTGATCCGCTCCGCTGACTCGTTTCGGATGTACGTTCCGATTTGATGGCGGCGGGTGCCGTGTTTCTTTGTGGCTGGGGCACACTCGCCAGTGTATTGGGGGACGTTTTAATTAAACCTTGAATTTTGATATAATTTTCAATCTCATCCCTTGCCTGTACATCGACATGATATAACGAGTCGGATATATCTATTGATGCATTGGGGTTTGGCAATGGCAATTCGCACATCTTTTTGCCGTTCTTAGCTATTGTGAATTCGGCAGTATCAAATAAACGTCTTCGTTCCTCAAAACTTATGCCCTTCTGAGCTGTTGATTCTTCCGTGTTCTCCTGCATTCCCTTGGGCAATATGCTTGGCTGTGGAATGATAATAACTACTTTTTTTACACGCTTCATCGTATGCTCGATGTTAGCTTCGGTCAAACGCTTTACCAGATTTACGGGATTTAAAACAACTTTTTTTTTCGGATGCGGTGTGCCAACCGACAGATATTCGCTTATAGAACTCCTGTTAGAGTAAGACTCTTTTCTAGAGCTTGGCCTAAAGTGCGATGACTTTCGATGGGGCTGCCAGTCCGTGGCATGTTTGTCTTTTAGGTTGTTCATTAGTGATTTGGGATTCACGGCCTTTTTGAGATTCGGAGGGCCCAATTGTATACTTCCTGCATCGTCTTTTCTTGTCCGAGTCTCGAACATTTCAGCACGTTGTTCGATTGCCCTCGCCGTTTCTATGTTTTGCTGACTAGCAAGGCGTTCGCGGAGCGTCTCCGCATCCACTGCCGGAGTTACTCGTGGAAATGGTGTCGTTACCCTAACGGAAGCTATCCGCATTAGACCATATTCACGAAAAGCCAGAGCTGATGTGTCCGATTTGCTGAAGAAGAGCTTCTCATGATGGCTCCTTGCCAAGGATGTTATAGACCTAATTGATGGTTTCAAGCTCGCAGCGGGATGTGACCTTAAATGGGTAGCTGACATGACGTTCAACATACGTACTGATGCAAGCAAAAGAACAAAATATATATGTAAGCAAATATTTTGTTTTTTCTTTTTTTTTTTTTTTTTTTTTGAATTAACTTATTTGCTGTGTTGGGAAATCAAATATAACATAAAATTGTTTAACACTGCTTGCAGTGCCAACTGTTCAGAGTAGAGCTTTTGAACAGCTTTCAAAGGCTACCCTTTTATTCTTTGCAATCTATCGGAATGGGAAAAATAATTATGAAGAATCATTTTATTGCTGAACTGTGACCTCTCTATTGCTAAATGATTTAGCTCATAAGATGTAATGTAATATGATGTAATAAAGTACTTTCCTCCATGTGTGAATTTAGTTAGAATTGAAAATCAAACAGAAAATGTACCTACATCGTTATTTGAACCATAGACTTCCTGAATAAGTAATAATGGCAAAAAGGCGAACTTGATTTCAAATCAGAGTTTAAATAGAAATTATGCGCTTTAAATGATACGTCAGGCAATATTTAGATTATGTATATTACTACCAGGTTTCATCCGGCTTTTCTACTATCTGGCTTTATTCGGCTTTGCACGACAGACGCAGATATTTCTCTTACATTCGGAAAAACGCAAAAAACGATTCACAGTCTTCATCTTCACTAAGATTTTAACATATCTTACACATTGGCCCTGTTTCGCCTCAACCTGCAAAGAGAAGCCATTTCTCTTAGAATTTATTAGAAAAATACATTTTCTAACTTAAATTTAAAAAATATCTTGTCTTCCGTCTGGCCTCAAACCTTTGTGCCTTGGTAACTGTTCAGACAGTCAGCCTAAGCTAAAAAATACATATAGACAGATAACCAGATAAATAGATAACAGGTATTGTCCATTGTTTGTCCACTGTTTTAGAGCATAAGAAAGAAACATCGGCACCGCGAAAGGTAACCATATCTTCTTGTTTTATCAATTGTGATTTATTTACATGAACTTCCATTAGCAGGCGTATTGCTGAATGTGAATACGTAGACAGAAATTTATACAAATCGCAATTGACGATCCAAACAGGTTCCAGTTATGAATAAGTTTGCATTAGAAAAATAGCGAAAGTGCGTTCAAGTGAGCTCCAGTCGCAATCTGTATGCACTCTCGCTATTTGTCAAATGCCATCTCCTTTTGGACATAGAGGGGCGTTCAATGAAAATTATTCGGCTGATTTCCTGATTTCCTTGTCAATAAGTATGATGGAGAGCTGCCAAAGCTAGTTTGTGACGCTGAATCATTGAGTTTGATTTTTGTATTGCCGGTTAGTGTACCGGCGGGTGCTTTTATGAAGCCTTCTTTTCGGATAAACGTTTCGATGGCATCTGTCGCCCTCTGGTCTTCGCAAAATGTGCCGTCAACTATGTCTGATTGATCAACTGGATTTGACATAAAATATTCGCTCAACTTCTTTCCATTTTTGGCAATTGTGAATTCGCCCTTACAGAATAATTGTCGACGTTCATTAAAGCTAAGTGGATGGCTGCTGGGCCCGGAGTTAGTCACTGTGCCTTGGCCACTTTTTTTCTCGTCCATTAACAAAGTCTTTTTTTCGCCTCGCTCTTCGCTGCTCGTGCTTCTCCGAGGACTGATTAGGGTGACCTTTTTGCGCTTATGCTCGTGCTCAGTAATGCTAGATTTATTGCTGAAGTTTTTTCGCAGACAGCTGGGCAGGGTATTGCGATTGTAGCATGAAGAGCGAGCCGACAGGAGGTTCTTGACTGACTTCCTGTCAGTTTCCATTTCTGTCAGCATCGTCTGGATGTCCGATAATCGTCTAATGCTAGCCCATTGATGGGAGAGTTCTGCATTCCAATCAATTGTACTGATCTGCCTTTTGAGTAACTTGGGATTTATGGCCAAGCCCTTGTTAGGGTGCGGAGTGCCTGAGGGCATTTGCTCAGGATGCATTACATGTGTCCTGTGTGACGTGTTGCTAAAACGTAAGATACTCATGGCAGAATCACTTTTTTCCAAGTGAGCCCTTTCGGTTTTACTTGTTCGCTCCTCCTCAAGGCGCGCTGTAAGTGCCGGCATATCAATTCCCTTAGATATGCGTGGGTATGGGGTCGAAGCCTTGTCTGCAGTTATCTTTATTAGGCCATAGTCGCGGTCTACAATTGGTATTTGGTCAGGCGGTTTGAATATCAGATTTCTCGATTGACTTTTTTTTATTTTGCTCAGGAATGATGATTTTGTAGTTTCCGTTGACGCCATCGTGAAAGGGATGGCAATCGCGATTAACCGTCTTGTGGGCGTTTCTGTGTCAAGCAGCTTTTGTTTTTTTTTTTTTAATTGTTGTTTTCTTGTATGTGTTGTTTGTTTTCCTGTTTCTAGAATATGTTCTTGAATTTCACCTATTTTTATATCGTGCTCACCTGAATCTGAAACTGCTTGCCGTGCCTACGCGGCACTGCTTACATTTTGATTTTGAATTCGGTGAGCATGCGATAGCTAAATGCTCTACAACTGTTTGTGTGCCAACACATAACCGTGGGCATCGACTAAAAGCACATTGTTAGCTTTAAGCTCTGGCCAAAGCTTTTTCTTTTGCCAATTAGCTTTGCCACTTGCCAAACAGCTGTTAAGGACTGCGGGCAAACATTTCAAAACAAAACGTTCAGCGGTAAGGAAGTAACTGAACTCGTTTAAAATCCTTGTGCATGTGATTAAATATGAAGAATAGCACAAAATGATTTAAATTCGAAAGTCTCAATAATTTGCTATTTAGTGAGAGTTTTCAATTAGAAACATTCTATAAGCTTCCTTGTGAAAAGAAACTATGCTCTCACTTGTCGCTTATAAGAGCAATGTGTAAATTCTTACAACGAATTTTTTAATGAAGCTGGAAACACTATTTAAAACCTCAAAAAATGTTTTTAATTAACTTTAAAACTTAAAGCTGTTTCATGTCCGTCTGCTTGTGATATCAATTTTGTATCTAGGTTTGTGCTGTGCATAACCAAAGTTTAATAAAATAATATTTGAAATGGAAAATGTAATTTGAGTGTACTTAAAAAGTAACAAAGCAATATAACCAACATATGTCCTTCGAAAATAATATGTTAAATGCTGCACTCTTTTAAAACAATCTATTTTTATAAAATGAATATATAATTACGTATATTCATTTATGTGTTTTAAAAAACATATAAAATTAAAAAATGTCCTACTCACAAAACCAAAACATTGAAGTCCCGATCCAAGTAGGCATTAATAAATATGAATATTAATGAGTATATAAATATATATATACAGAATCTAACGATAATGTGAATTTCATACAAGATATGTTCGGCTTGAAAATTTCAATTGCCCTTGTTTTTCCTTAACAAAATTTAATTATTGTTCAGCTTTTAACAAATCAATAAATACTAATAATTAGTAAAACATTACAAAATTATAAAATTATAATAATTATATGTGTGTGCCATTAAAACGCATATGCTCAGAGTTCAATGTGCTCACCTTCCCAAGGTATTTGAAAAAAGAGCTGAGTGACATTGAGAAGCAGCCGCGCGACAAGTGGAAATATAACATTTTCTCCGGTTTTAATGAGTTATGACATAAGCTTTATCAGGCAGCTTCCCTCGCCAATTTCAACGCGTTTCACTTACATTATATATATATGTATATATATGATTTTTTTTTTAGCTCTTTGCACCTGCCAGACTCTGATTGTTGTCGTATAAAGGACAACAAGCGTCAAAATGGGTGAAAAGAAATTTTGCACTTAACGTGTTTTCCATCTCCGGCTACTTCAGTTTGTGTCTAAGGCTTGTTAGCTGATTTTTTTTTCTGTTTTTTTTTCTTCATGTTTTTGCCATATATTTGTTTAACAGCCTCTTGTGTGATGTGACTCTCATGAATTTTATTTCAAATGCTTTCATTCATTCATTCCGCATAGACATGACGAGTAAAGGCCTGTCTCAAAGTCTGTTCCTTTTTACCCCTAGTTGCCCTGCCCGTTCCGAATCCCTTGTCGCAAATAGAAGCTCTAATCCTGCGTGCTGGGGCGTTCGTATAAAATAACAACAACAATCATAAGAAAGTAAACGTCGCTACGTAACTTCTGGACCTACAGACACAGCTCAAACACAAGGACACAGACAGACTTTCGTAGTTATTGGGTTTGCTTTCACGGCTTATGTGCAACTGAAGCCCCGAAACTTTCATAAATTTCTGCACTAGCTCCATAGGCTTACAAAACTTGCCCAAGACTTTTCTTTTAATACTTTGCGCTAAGTATTTCAAGTGTTTCCCTCGCCCCTTTCGTGTGCTTTGAATTCTTTGCGTCCAGTTCTGGTTTTTCAATTGAAAGCTGCCATTTGGGGCGTCAAGAATGCGAACTAAAAAAAAAATAATATTATTTTGTGCATTGTCGAGTGTGGCATGCCTTAAAGCAGAGTAAATGAAATGTGCGCTTACAAAACGAACTGCATATTCATTAAGAGCCTTAAATTCTTTACTTTATAGTAAACTTAATAACAATTAGGTGAATAGAATGTCCATTTTGATATTTTTTGACAAAAATCGACTACTGTGGTGTGGGTCTACTTGGCCGTGCACAGCCGGCTAATTCTTGCTAGTTTTGATTTTTCAGCTTTCTTGCAGTGCAAACTAGAAAGCTTCAGAGAAATTCTCGTGCAAATTTATTCTCTTTCTTGGCCGGTTGTGTGCGATGCCTGAATTACGGCCCCGTCCTGCTTTGCAGCCACTTGAAAGTGTGTTTCATTGAAATAGTTTTTCATTTACTCAACGCTTTTTATGCGCCTCTGGACAGGCATTTCGTCGAAATGGCCAACTGGGCGAGCTGGCAGAAAAGTGAACCCGGCAAATATGGCCCACTGTGACAGGCGTTCGCTCTATACGAATGTTGGCCATGGTGACCGCAATTGGCCGACACAAAGCCGCAGCCGTTGCTAATGAGGAAAATAGCATTAGTGACTGAGCTACGCAGGCATCTAATTATCGTTGTTTTTTAATGAAAATTTGGTTTTTTACTTGCCGTTTTAGATTACAACAACGAGGCGAGCGGCACCGGCGCTTTGGCAAGCAGCTTCGATAAGTCCGTTCTGCACATTTCCGACTGGTTGACTTGGGAACAAAACATGATCAAGATACAGAGTGTGGTCGTGGACGATGTGGACGCAGTGCGTTTGGCCATTGAAAAGCAGGAGGTAAGTTTCAGCTGCAGCAGCCGGTTGCAGGTTGAAGTAGTGTCCATTGCTTTTGCTCTATTTCTGCTTCGCTTTGTAGAAAGTTTTGCGTGAATTGAAAATGAAAAAACCTCAACTCAATGAGCTGGTCCACACAGCGGAAGTGCTGAAGGGCGACATTAAGCGACAGCAATTGCAGGAGAAAGGTAAGCTCTTAAAGCCTTATTACTAAATAAAAATAACTATTTAACGGGCTATTTCATCTAAACATTTGTTGTCAATGCTAAAGTTTACAAAACCAAAACTAGGTACATATTAGGTATTATTGGAGAAACACACTTCATATGTATGTACATATATATCAATGTGTATTTCATTCTACGAATTGTGGTTGATAACGAAAAAATTATTGAGCTTTTCTACACTCGATAAAAACTTCATTATTAGGGAAAAATGTGCATTCTATGCTTTTTTGAACGGGCACAGTTTTTCTTATTTGAATATTTAAATTACGAACTGTGCTCTAAGACGTATGTTATACATATGTAAAATATAAGGGAAGGCTTTTTTTTCTCTTCCTTTTAATATTCTCCTCCTTCTCTCACCTCTGCAAACTCCTCTGCACTCGGTCTTCTCCAATTCTACATCCCTTTAGAAGATGCATAGCCAGTCCATTGTCATTACGAAAGCTGCCAGAAATGCTAGTTTTCCTATTAAACAAGCTTTCAAGGAGAAATCATTTTGGAGAACACATGTGAACGTTTCCTAATTCATCGAACAAATTGCCCATTCGATGGCACATGGAAATTTCATTAGACCTTTTAGCTGCTGTCTGCTAAATGCCATTATGAATTGCATGCAGATTGTGTTCAACCTGAAGCCCTGGCGAGCTGTGTACATTTTCCATTTCCCTTAACGACTTTCGTGCAAGCAAATTTCCGCTTTGCCAGTCCAACTCACATACCACGGTCAGCGTGGTATGGGAAGGGCGTTCCGTTCAATCTGAAATATCCACTTAAAATGACCAACAGTTGCTGGCTCGCTTGCCAACTGGCCCAAGCGAGTGGTGCGGTCGGTGGTGCTGCTGATGCAAAAATTTGCATGCCGTTGCCGGGAACCTTCCGACACAATATGTCTTGCACTTGTCCCGTACAATGCGTCCTCCGATAGGTTTGGCTGCTGCTAAAAAGACTAAAATTAACCAGTAAATACGATCGATGGAACGCACTCAGATACTCTGTAGTTGTACTTGTGGGATACGCAGATATTCTTCATGTTAACTGAGATATTAGGTCAAAAAAAAAGCTTAAATTATTTCAATATAATGCATATAATATTCGAAGACTTTTTTAAGTTCTTTTCTAAACTTTTACGATTTGTTTTATTTAAATCAAATCACAATTGGGTTTGAATTGCTAATTTCAATCGTACCTGAATGCAATGCCATAAACATTTGGTCCATAAACATTTAATTATCTGTATTCTAGTATACAAATTCTTCAATAATTGAAAAGTTCGAAAGTGAGTCTATATTTAGTTTTTTTTTGTTCGTTTTTTAAAGGGTATTGTTAGGTGACAAAGCCAAAGCTGTCGAATGGCATTGAAAGACAATGGCAAGGTTCTCAGCAAACACAAATACAAATATGTGCACAGGACACACACACACACAGACACACACACACACACAGACACACACACACACACACATTTATGTAAATGGGAAACATGTCAGAATTGAGTGCCAAACATAGGAATGTATAGAATGCCCTGCACTATGAATCGGAAATGGAAATGCTTTTTAAGCCGGTACAATTCAGTGGTGAATATGCACCATCACAGTTGGACAGGCACTGGACTAAAGAGTGGAATGTAACGTTAAAGAGAGTGAAATTTTTCATTGCATGCCTCAAGGCGCATGCTCAGAAGAAGATATACATTTGGGTATGTGTGCATGCGTGTGTGTGTGTGTTAGTATGTGTGCTCTGTGTATTTTTTGCATTTCGTTCATTTTTGAACTCTCTGCGGAATTTTAATGTGGCATCAGGCAGCCAACATTTCTGTCAGTTGACATTTAATTGACAAGCGCTACGGAGTTGAAGTGTGGGGCGGGCTGCTAACATTTTTATGCGCCCCTTTTGTTGTTGCGGCCACTGTTGTTGGGTCTGCTGCTTGTTGGGTCTTACATAGTTTTGTATTTTATGTCATTGTTTGTTGGCTGTGGGGGAATTGGCCT